TAAATACATTGTGAAAACTAGAAGCAATTCTACCACTGTCGGATGTACGGGCCGTTCCGCCGCTATTCGTCTGATGCGGCAGGGGTCAATAGTGTATCACCGCCGAATCGTTTAGTAACCCAACACCGACTAAAGGATCATCACAGGCAGATCGTACTGCAACGCGACGGTGATGATGCCCTATGACCAGGCGATTCATTCATTGAAGCGACGGTGATGTTTGCCTCGACACAGGCGGGTCGTGCTCCAATGTGATAGAAACAATGACCTGATCATAGACGGATCATAAGCCAACATGGCGGTGTTTGTGTACACCTACATAGGCGGGTCGGGCCTCAATGGGACAGAATAATCATCTGATCACAGACGGATCATAAGCCATGCGACGATGTTAGTGCATACCCACACAGGCGAGCCGTGCTCCAATGCGATGGAAGTAAGAACCTTATCACGGACGGATGATAAACCAAAATGGTGGTGTAGTGAACATCCTAGTTGGTCTTAGATAGCGACGACGATGGCTATGACTATCACTGCCGATAGCTTACTACCGAGGCCAAAATCAAACTGGATAGGTTTAGGACGTGGCTGTGAAAGGTGCAAGTGTAGTAGTGTACTATCATTTATAGTTTAATAAATTGAACACCTAGTTAATCATCTTGCATTTAGTTCAACAATAGTTGTACAAAAGTGACAAATTTCAGTCTGATATATAAATTAATACTTGAATCTACTGCGGTGAACTAAGCAACTTGCCAATGAACATACTAAGAACTAAGGTAAGTACAAAATAGGTGAAACTAGAACATGAAGCACATTTCTTTCTCAAAGGTACAAAATCTTCCATCATCTTCATTGGAACCCTGGTCATTTCTTTAATCTGTGGCATAATCTCTTCCTCCTCCTGCAGAAGTTCTTCATTTGTTGTAACATTAGCCTCCGCCTTCAGCTCCTAAATCTTGTTACGTAAATCCAAAATTAAAGTCCTCAGAAATTTTCATGTGGGATCATGCCACTTAAAGAACCCATAATCTAAGTGGGGCGACGAAAAAACCAAATTACCATAAGTACAACGGGATTTCAGCATTTGCATTGTGAAAACAGAATGAACAAGAAAAAAATCGAGTTACATTATTTGCCCTACAACATATGTGGTACCAAAGTCCTGGGTTTCCATCACTCCACGAAATCCACTGAGGCGTCTTCGAGCCGCAGCGACACAAAAGTGGTGGCTGGTATGCATAGGGGTGGTTCTCGACACGGAACATGATGGGCGGCCCCCTCCCGTTGTAGCCTCCTCTGCTAGAAACCGGTGTTCTTCTCACAACAGCGCATTAGGATGGTGCCAACCACTGGGAGGAGCTGGAGCTAGATGCAGCCATGGAGCAGTCAGGATTCAAAGTGTTGCATACTCTGAGTGAAGAGGCCGGCACAGGTCTTTTGTCTATGCTTTTGTCTCCCACCAAGGCGCCAAAACATCCTTCAAAACCCTCACACTCCCACGCAAGATGAAATGTTGTGTCACCGGTGGTTCAAGGTACTATCCGCCTATAGAAGAAGGCCTGTTTTGGATCCTCTATGCTTCCATAGAGGTGTACACGTAGACCACAATCAAGACCAACTGATTCAATTAACAGTTCAACCGAAGTAATAGTTCAACGATTATGCAATACTCATACATACTAATCTAGAGGTTTTATTAGTACATATAAACTTCATTAACATAAAAGTTTCACAAATTCTAAGACTTAATGTTGGATGGGTAGGCAGTTGCTAAGGTACTCAATTGGTTGATGCGGTCCCAAAAGCCAGAGGTATTGAACTGTAGCAAAGATGACAACATCTCCATCCATAGACACATTGTATCTATAAAGTATGTCTACTTCCTGTCTAGTCCTACAAAGCACAAAAATCTTTCCACAAATAGGGTCTTGAATGATTCTTATCAATTTTTGTGGTCCGAGAAGGTGACGAACAGCGGCTTCAACAATCAACAGTCGGTCCAGATGAATGCTCAGTCCCTAAGTAGCAAACAACATCATCTGGGGTCCTAGTGCCACCCCTAGCCACCAAAACACAAGGTTGCTCGCATTAAAATGGCTTCATCCAAAGTAAGACGTCTATTGAAATGAAGAAATTTCTAATATGAACAAAGCTGATATCGAACCCAAAACCAATTGGAACCAAAATGCAAACAGGGGGTGACTGAATCCATCTAACCTTCACGGGGCGTTGTCCATGACGACAATGCAAGGTGCTCAAGGCAGGGCAAGTACAGGCGACGGGTCAAAATGAAGATGAAGCAACGGATGGGGAGAATGAAGATAAATCAACAACGGGTGGGGAGAACTAATTCGTATTGGGGTTTTTTAGTTGGTCGAACCACCGCCAAGGCGCCGATAGGACCCGAGGAGAGTTGGGAATGGACCGGATGCTTCTAGGTTTGTTGCCAAACGGACGGTCCAGATTGAACGGCAGCGAGAACGGACGGCACGGGATAAGTTAAACAATGTTCGTATTAAGCCGACCATTGCCACGCTAGTCCAACGCTATAATACGGCAATTATCAGTGGTTAAACTGCTTTTAGATTCTCCTGGAAACAACCGCAACCGTACATGCTCGCTTTTTTCCCTTTTATTCACAAATATATACAGAAAAATTAAAAAACATTCGTCGAGAGATCAAATCCATGCACTAGCATTTGGAAGTAGTATTGGAAAGAACTCGCTTTGCATTGCATAAAAAAAGGTGACATTGAAGAGATCAAATCTGCACAAATAGATTTTTTTCATTGATTGATTATATATATCTTACATATAGATACAATTTGGATGAGTATATGATTGTACTCGTCCGAAAGCATAATAACTAACCTAAACTATTAAAACTACTTATACTAACTATAAACTACTTAATCCTCGCTCGCTTTGGAGGAGGCAAGGCGAAGTCCGAGTCCGAGTCCGAGTCATCGTCATCGTCATCTTTGTCCTTCTCGTCCTCCTCCTCTGGGTCATCCTTCTCGGAGCTCCATGGAAGACTATAATCAGACATCCCGTCATCAGAGGAGACGCTCTCCTCGGAGGAGTGGTGGGAAGACAATTCATCCTCGCTGGATGACGGCTACTTGGAAACTTGATGGGGTTGTCCGACATTTTCTTTGTAGATTGGAAGAGAAGGGGATGATGGTTGAAGAAGATGGGTTGTTTCAGAGGGCACCGAGCCTAAAGTATATGTAGAGCAGTGGGTACACGGCTCTTAGGCTTCATGCAACGGAAGTAATGGTGATTTGACGGCCTTGGAAGTTGAGGCAATTCAACACTCACGCTGAATTTAGCGCCAGTTGACCAAATGCTACTTTAGGGCCGGTGGGCAAAATGCGTATCCCAGTCGGCCCGGCTTTTCATGCGACGGAGGAAATGCAACCCCAATACCACTACCGCATCTATCGTTAACCCATCGGTGGTAGAAGTCTGAACTGCCGATTTCGGTCGTAGGAGGCCTCGCTATCGTTCCAACCGACGGTGTAAGTATCACACCGTCGCTTTTTATCGCTACGGCAGTGAAAGTGGCGATAGTGATAAATCAATCTGTAGTAGTGCATGTTGCTCCACTTGAGGTTTTGTGAGAAGAGTGGAGAGATATCTAAGCAAAAGGGAGTATTCTGGTGGACCTGAAGGAGGGGGAAAAGAAAAAAACATTGGACCTAATGTCTAGTGGGTCCTATGAATTTGAGGGCAGGGATGCAGGGGCTATTACCGAAAGTAGATAGTTGAATGTGAGGGATAAAAATAGGGGAACCCTCAAACCCCAAGTAGGGACCCTGGTTTTTGGACCCATTACTCAAGTTGCTCTATATATACTTTATATCCTATTTGCAATTATTTTTACTTTATTATTTTTATGATTTTATATATAAAACAACATCCTACATGACCATGTTTCGTTTAAGAAAAATAACAATGACATGTGGCATACTCATAGCTATACTAGAAAAGCACGCTAACCAAATACTCTTTGCAGGTTCAAAATTTAGCAATGAGGCTTGGTAGCAAACTAAAAATCATTTTCTAGCCCTAATTTTGTCACTGCCCCAACTTGTTCATTACCGAGACTTGCTTGGCTTGTTAGGTTAGTACATGGGCGCGTTTGGTATAACTTTGCTTCACTAGTACAATAACTTTTTTTTTTGCTTCGGCTCGAGGAGCAGTCCTACTAGTGTAGCTAAATTGTTTTAGAAAAAACATTTGGTAAAATAATTTCTCATGGTGATAGAAATGGTGAACTATAATATCCTTTCTCTCTTTTTTTCCTCCTCTCATGTCTCGTTTCTTGCACTACCGCCTACAACACTGGAACGGAAAAAGTGGATCTTACCTCGCTAGCAGCCCTGTAGCTAGTGGAAGCTCCTTTTTTAGTTTTGCCATGTGACAACAGGGTGTGAGACTGTTTCCTGGGATACACGTGAGGAGCAGCTATGGTTTCACTCGTTTGGTACGTTAACCTACAAAACGGCTCTATGAGAAGTTGTTTTCTCGCACCGTCGCTTGCAACACTGGAGTGCAAAAGTGGATCTTACCTCACTAGCAACCCATGTAGCCATGTGACAACGAGCTATAAGATTGTTTCCCTGGATACGCGTGAAGTTTCTTGTTTGGTATGTTAACCTACAAAACAGCTCTACGGCAGCAGTCGTGGAATCTATACCAAACACGTCCCATGGCCTATATAGGCAAACATGGCTACTCTTCGTCATGGGTGTAAGGGCATTTCAGTCATTTTGGTTCTCGGGTTGGGTCGCATGCCACGCTGGATTAGACTCGGCGCGCAGCATTCATTCAGCTGGCGAGCGAGAGAGAAAGAGGGGAATAGTCGAATAGAAAGGAAGGGGCGAGGCGGCCGGACAGGGAGCCGAGCGCAAGAGCTCAGGCTTCGCCGCGAAACCCCAGACCTCGCGCCGCCCCTTCCCCTCCCCGGCGTCGTCCTCGCTCTCTGATCCAAGATGGTGAGTATCTGCGACCCACCCCTGTTCTGTTCGTACCGATCCCCCCGTTTTTAGTGAGATCTTTTGGTATCTGAATCGGTTTGTGCGGTAATCGCTCCCTTCTATGTTCCCTCCACGGTTTCGATTCGTGGGTTAACTGGTTCAGTCTGATGTGTGAACTGTTGGAATCTGATGTTTATTTTTTCTTTTAAAAATGATAGCTGATTATGTGTGGTGTGTGTGCACTGTGCAGTATAAGCTGGGGAGAGGAAACCGCGACAAGGTGCAGCAGTTCATGACCATAACCGGCGCCAGGTATGGTTGTTTAATTGATGTTGAAATTGGAACGAATTATTGTGGCCATTGGCAAGGTAGCTAGTAGCTTAGCTACATGGCATCTTAGTGGTTAATTTGTTGGTCGAAATCTTACAATTGCGCATCATATAATAGTTTAAAATGCACTAAAATTGCTACAATCCATGTATGATATGCTTGTTTGGTCCACTATGGATATGGAATTTAGTGCTTTGTCATCTAAAATCCTGTAGCAGTTTTGGGCCATCCACCTTTTATCAAGTACACATATAGAAATCCATTTTGTTGCTTTCTATGCGGTGCTGCATTCTGTCTCATTCTTGTGAATGTATATACCTGCACAGAAATCCTACTAGCTCTGGAATGCAAATTTCAAGTGTACTAGGCACCTTAAAGTCTTGCTTTTAACAATGGTGCCATAATATGGATCATTTTGGTTGCTCTACAATATATAGATATCTAGACTAGATGAATTTTTATAGCCAGCAGTCCTGAAAGGATGTCCTTTAGAAAACTTCAATTTAAGTGCATAGGACATATTGATCAGGAATATAAAAATACATGCAACCTCAAGGTTCCAGTTATATAACACAAATTTAGTGAGCAATTTTTATCACCTAATGCAGTGAGAAGGTTGCCCTTCAGGCACTGAAAGCAAGTGATTGGCACTTGGAAGGAGCTTTTGACTTCTTCTATAGCCAACCTCAGATTTCTGCAGTCAATACTCGGCATCTTGAAGATATTTTCAACAGATATAAAGGTATCGGCTTCCATTGCCTTAACTAACCTTTGAGATCTTAATTTCCTTGGTGTTTACCTGATACATTTGGATTTTCATACACTGTTATGTACAACTACAATGCAGAGGCCCATAACACATACATTGCACTGTTAGGAAAAAATGTTCTCTTACCTTTTTTCATTTTCGAATTAGGACTTCATTGTCTATTTTGTTTTTGTTGGCAGAACCTGATGGTGATATGATCATGGTGGAAGGAATATCTCAACTTTGCAATGATCTGCAGGTAATGAGCATTTATTTTCATCTGTAAATAGCCGTTCACCATATTCTCACTTCATTTGCAGCCGTAGGAATGTGTTGTGCTTAATCCATTTGATTGCAAATAGAAAAGAAAATATGGGCATTGATATAGTTTGTGAGGTAGCATTTTAATGGTTAATTGCTACCAGATATTTTTAGATTTTAAATAGTAGAGTACTACTATGAAGCTATATATGGATAGACTCAACAATACCAATGTGTGTATAGGGGGACTAGTGTATCATTTTAACGTACATTTAATGTTTGACAAACCCTTAATTTTTGCTTCAATTATTATGGTTTATCTCAAATGTTGTTGAAGAGATAGATGTCACTGGCAGTCTTGTTTTATTTGACACTAGGGATCAGGTTTTATTGAATTTTGCTTGGCTTTCTAGTTTGTACATGTCGGTTTATTGGATTCTTGCAAGTGATTTATCGTGTTGTTTGGTTTGTACATCCATAACGCAAATGGAAATAAAATTAGTTCAAATGGTATGTCTTGCTGTAACATCCACAGCTTTAATTCGTTTCCATTTACGTTACCAAAGCTACAACCAAGCAACACCTAGGCTGGATCATGACTTGTGAGTTTTGAGTTTGGAACTGCCATTTACTAGCGTCTATATCTCGTGAGGGTTTGGAAAACACAAATTGCTGCTTATATAAGTTGCCATTTATTGTGTTGCAGGGAAGGTGCTTGTAACGCATGCATTTTGTTTTGTACCTTATACTACCTATTAGTGGCACCAACATTCCATTATTTCTGATGCATATGTTTCATCTTTATTTTGCAGGTGGATCCTCAGGATATTGTCATGGTATGTGATTAGCTTCTTCTCTAAAAGTTTGTTTGCAAATTAGTTCTGTGGCAGAGAGTAGTGTGGAATGGTCTGCTGGAGCTACATTCAGTTCTATCTTATGTTGCATAGTGTTTGCACAGATTTTTTCGTAAGTTTGCAATTATATGCCTTTAGTAAGTTTGCACGAGAACCAAGTGATAACTTGGTTGGTAGAGCATCTAGTTGAGGGGTTGCTAACCTGGGCTCGATCCCGGATGCATGTATGTCATGTGAGTACCTTCCAAAAGGGTTAGGTACTCCCCTTTCTTAAGACAGCCAAGTGGACGTCTTCTCTCCATGGTCAAGTTTCTTATGCTTATTCTATATTTAAATAAACATGACCATCTTTGGATCATTATTGCTCCTAGTCATATAGTCATGTGTGCTGTTAACAGCTTGTCATATCATGGCACATGAAAGCCGCCACAATGTGTGAATTTACTCGTCAGGAATTCATTGGTGGACTGCAGTCAATTGGGTGAGTGCTGTGTGCAGTTGCGATATTCCCATATGAAGTTGATCCCAGATCCTGGGTTTTTCATTCGTATAGTTTTTTTTAGTAAGTTTTGTTGGTATTTGCAGGGTAGATTCAATTGAGAAGTTTCGTGGAAAATTACCATCATTACGAGCTGAGCTAAAAGATGACAGTGAGTTTCCCTTATTTCAGGCAAAACTTTGATTATGTTTAGCTTATTATAGTTTAGATGTGGCCATGGTTATTAAGGTGTCACTTCAGCGTTGCTTAAGCAGTGGAGCGGTCTAGGGTTGCCTCAGGGGCAAAGGTAGACGCCCTGTGGCCTTATGCGCATGCTGACACCCCCTCGGTTCCGCCTTCTCCTCGTCGATTCTGCTTCTGGCCCGCTTGATTTTGCTTCTGCTGGCTTGATTCCTTCCTTCTGCTGGCTTGATTTCTTCCATCTCCCGCTTGCCAATTGCTCAATCTGGAAGGGGACTGTGGTGGCTGTTGATATGAGAGCGCTGACCAGTGAGGGAAGGGAAGTAGAGGGGCGGAGGGAAGGGAAGAGCTGAGCAGCGCATCCGGAGAGGGGCGGAGGGAAGCAGAGCAGGCATCCTGGCGAAGGTGGAACGGCAGAGAACGAGGGAGATAGAGAGAGGGAGGGATTGGGATCAGGATCAGGATCAGGAGTTTGATGAAGCCACTTCAGGACGGGGAGGGGCACATGAGCTGTCAGGTAGGCTGGGCCAGCCCACTTCTTACTTAAGGCGGTATAGTCAGTCGCCACGCCTCGCCTTACCGCCTTGATAACCATGGATGTGGCCACTTGATAGTTCGAAAGCTTTTCTCCAATGTATGTGAAGTCTGCAGCTCTGCATTCATGGCAAATGGGTTTCCTTTTCTTGAGGATTACTCCCTCTATCCCTTTTTATCTGTCGTTCTCATTTCCCAAGAAGTCAAACATACTTAACTTTGACTAAATATATAAAAGGAAACATTAATATTTATAGTACATAATTAGTATCATTAGATAGATCGTTGAATCTATTTTCATAATAAATTTATTTAAGATACAAATATTGCTAATATTTTCTACAAACTTAGTCAAACTTTAGAAAGTTTGACTGACATCCACGGCGACATTTAAATAGGGACTGAGGGAGTAGATATGCAGAGTGAAATGATGTTGGTTTCTTATTCATCTCTAACCATTGTGTTTACACCTACCTCTCCAGATAAGTTCCGTGATATATACAACTTTGCATTCACTTGGGCAAGGGAAAAGGTTAGCCCATATTTCATCCAGTATTTATAGAGGTTATTCATATTTGTATGCTGTTGGAAAATTTATCTTTATTCATCAAATAGTATAATACTATTTTCTGTATTTTTTTAACATATTCCCTTATTTGACAGGGTCAAAAGTCTCTCTCACTGGAGACTGCTATTGGAATGTGGCAGTTGCTATTTGCTGAAAGGAACTGGCCTCTTCTCGAGCATTGGTGTCAGTTTTTACAGGTATAGCTGAAGTCAAAGGCAGTTTCACTAATTTCATTATCAGAGTTGAAGCATCAGGTTCAGGTGTTACTTTTCTCAAAGTTAAAGCATAAGGCGTTACTTGTTCCTCATCTTGAGCTCTTCAAATTTCAGGTCAGGCACAATAAAGCCATATCTAGAGACACATGGGCCCAGCTGCTGGAATTTGTAAAGGTATTGTCTATTTTACCTCCCTTGCAAGTGGAACTCCAGTTGTAGCTTGTGGTTAAATTAGATGCCCAGTTCTAATGCAAATGTATTGCATTTAGATGGTCAGTTTATGCCGCCACAGTCTGGCAGAAAACGTTATTGATATGGTTGAGATGTATTCCATCTGATTTAGGGTTATTAGCTGATGTAGTTTTGTTCCTCATGGCTTTAGTTGCTAGGTAGTTTTAAAATCTGTGTTTCTTAAGTATTGTTCATTCAAGCTAAGCTCTGAGCAGCTGAATCGCTCAGAAGCAACATGCAGTTTTGTTCCTCATCAGTAATAGTAATTCAGTATGTCTCCTATTAAGTTCAAGAGTTTTCCATGATTTTCTTTAAGAACTCCTTGCTGTTATGTTGGCTTTTGCAAATTATCATTATTATTATTTTATTTTATTTGTTTTCTTGCAGACGATTGATCCACAGTTATCCAACTATGATGACGAAGGTGCCTGGCCCTACCTCATAGACGAATTTGTGGAATACCTGACTGAGAATGGGTTCGTCCAGCGTAAAAGATGAACAGCGGGGAGCCTTCCTTCTTCAAACAATGGTTGGGCTGTACAAAAATGATTTATCTCGGTCGGAACAACGCCCAGGGCCCGATGTTGGCACTCCTGCTCAATCCATTCACCAAACTGTTGGCATATCATTGAATTTTCTTATAAACGCGGGGAAACATAACTTTTTAGCCTGGGAAGTGGTGGCTGTCAGCCTGCGATCGTGAACTGGAACTTATCGTGATCTGGAACTTATCGAGAATGCAATGGAGAGTTTGGGACTCTGGTTAACTATATGATTTGTTGCATCATTTCTCTTATCGTTTCTATCTCCTCTCCTCCCAAGTCTAGCAGCAACGCTCGACACTTTGCTTGACCATTTGCCTTGTTGAGTGATGCTGTGCCCCCGGTCCTCGGCTGTCAGTTCCCACGAGCAAGGTGGCTAGTATACACGGCCGGCCACCTTGCACGGTGAGATCGGAGTCGGCGTATGCCTCCGAAGTCCGGACCAAGCCCCCGGCCGCCGGTGGGGGCAGCCTGTCTCTCTTTTCGCTGTTGCCCCATTAGGTGGATTTGCATCTTAAAACAATTCAAATTGGACATTAGACATTTAGTATTGCATTCGGATTGGATGTTAATTTTTTTTCCCTCGGATCTAGTTGGAATTGTCCATTGGATTTGGATTCTAATCTATTATCACCTCCAGTTGCCCTTGATTTTAGCTTGGTGTCAGTGGTGCGGCCCTATGGGCAGCCTTGGGCGGCTTGGCCTTGTCCTCGACCGTCCTGAATCTCACCGGCCTGTGTCGTTTTGGTTGTGGGGGTAATTGAAAGGAGAGAATGGAAGTTTGAAGGTAGGAATTTGGAAATCTTTAGCTTGGTTTTGTGGAAGTAGAAGTTTTGGTGGGAAGAGAAATTGAAGTTTAATAGCTTGTTAAGTGTATCACCTGTCTTGTCTGGCATGAGCTCAGCCAAGCTCATTTAAGTTAGGTTGGTTCATACAAGGTCGTTTTGTTTGGTTGCTTGTATTTACCCATCCTAGCTAAGTAAATACAATTTTGGTTTGTCTGCACGAGAATATACGCATATGAGATAAAATATGTAAGACAAAAGTAATTAGAATATTTATTGGACATATATATGTTTTAGTAGTCCTAGTTTTTCTTATTAAGCATTAATTAACTCTTAAAAGCACTAATGTCACTTACTATATACTACTTATGTACTAATTATATCGTTAGCTGGGAGCCACCTCATATCTAGCAATATACCTGTCGTTGGGAGGGTTTGGGCATATCCATGTTTATCTGTACTTAAACCCATTTCTCTTCTACCCGATTGATACCCTCCCCAAAATTATTCATATTCATTTGCCCATAACCATTGGATAATTTGGATGAGTGCAAATGAGATGCTCATCGCCCGCGGCACCACTGTCTTCGCACGGCTCATTGCCGGCAGGTGGTTCTGTTCGACTAATGGTTTTTGCGGCTGATAAGTCGGCTGATGCTGTTTTGTTGTAAAAGAAAAATACTATACCATGACTGATAAATCGGGCTGATAAGTTTACGCAAACCGGACTTGCGACCAAGGCGACCACGAGCCCGCCAGGGGGAGTCACGTGGTGGGCCCTAACATGAATGGGTAATGTCACTGGGTGAGGGTATTAGCATGTTTGATAGTGGGTGTCCCCGACCCGTACCCAAATTTAAACGGGTAATTATTTTTTATACATACCGTGCCCAAACAGCGTGGATGTGGATTTGGGTATGGAATTTGAATATTCACCGACAGGGATATCCAGCAAGCTAGGACCATAGAAAACGGAAATGAAACTCGTTTCCTGGTTGCCAAGCTGATGGTGCTCTTTTGCATCCCTCAGGACAAGTCTAGGCCTTTATCCAGATAACCAAACAACCAAAAATTGCAATCTACAAGCCTGGTCTAGCTTTATACATGCAACCAAACAGGCTATAAAAGGGCCAACTCCCACTAATGGACCTATTCATTTTAGCTTTTCTACGGCTGTTGCGACTGCTTTGAGTTCTATGTACGAGCAGTACCTGCTGAGAGCAGCACTACAAGCACAACCGAATAGACCCAATCAATTTCCTAGAGTGAAAATTATGCTCTTAATTGAAAGATAAACACATCTACTGGCGGAGCCTCATGGAGGTGATAGGGGCTCTTGCGCCCCCGCCCCCTGAAAGCCCCCGTAACATGGTGAATCAAAAGTTGTATCGGTCTATGATTGTAAGCCTACTCTATATGACCGCATCAATATCGAATGTCATGTTTAGTATATGTATGTGTGTAAGATTTCAAGCCTCACCAAGAGAAAGTCATTTAAAGGCTACAAAGAGAATATTGAGGTACTTGAAGCATATACAAAATGTTGGTTTGTGGTATCCCAAAGGAGCAAAATTTGAGCTAGTTGGATATTCCGACTCGGATTATGCGGGATGCAAAATTGAGAGAAAGAGCACATCGGGCACTTGTCAACTCTTGGGAAGGTCACTTGTATTTTGGTCATTAAAGAAGCAAAATAGTGTTGTATTATCAACCGCCGAAGCCGAATACATATCCGCCGGTAGTTGTTGTGCACAAATTCTTTGAATGAAGGCCACCTTGAATGACTTTGGAATCAAGTTCAAAAAAGTGTCATTGTTATGTGACAATGAGAGTGCAATCAAGCTAACCAACAATCTGGTTCAACATGCGAGAATAAAGCACATTAATGTCCGCCATCATTTCATAAGAGATCATCAACAAAAACGGGACATATCAATTGAGAGTGTGGGCACCGAAGATCAACTTGCCGACATAATCACCAAGCCATTTGATGAGAAGAGGTTTTGCAAGCTAAGGAATGAGTTGAATATATTGGATTTCTCAAATATGTGTTGATGCACCCCCCACTTATATGACATGCCTCTCCTTCGAGCAATCCAAGATAAAATTGATTGACATGCATACATACTTTGCTAAGGACTTGTTTAGTGCATCTAGTCATTCCTCATGTTCTATAGGCTCATTCATGAAAATAAAATGAATTTGATGCTTATATGGTACCACTATTGTTTCTATGCTTGACTTGATCTAGCGGTAGCATATGATATGTTTGTGGGCTTGTGAACCTAGTGTTTGATCTAGAAAATGAACTATAAGTATTTAACTCAACATGGTCAAGATAACCCTTGAAATGAGGTGTGAAGAAGCTTGTTCTTGGATCAAATCGAGTTAAATATCTTTGACAAGTGTTCTAGATTGAACCAAATTTAAGAAAATGATCCTCACACCATTGATTGACATTGATAATCTTAACCTATCTAAAATTAAACTTTTGTGGTCATTGATGACAAAGGGGAAGAGAAACAAAGATAAAAATGATAGAGGGAGAAAATGGACATAAGGAGAGAGATATGACAAAGGAAGGGGATCAATTAAAATTTTAAGCACACAAGTAGGGGGAGCATGCTCATAGACTTGTTTGATGCATTTGAATGTGCATTCACATATGCTTGCTTGCATTTGTCAAGTTTCAATTGAATATACATGCTTGTGTGGTGTATGCTAGTTGTAGGTTTGAATGATGAAATAAAAAACTATCATGCATAGGATGATAGTTAGATGTGACTTGCATTTGCTTTCACAGGTAGTACTAGAGCCTTGCATATAATGTTGATCTCACGAGGTATCTAGTCCTTTGTCTTTGCAAGTGGTATCTAACTAACAATGGTGCTAAGGATGGTATTATTGGTGCACTCCGATTGGTATCACGCTTCAAAGGTCCATCTCTTACATCTTAGCATCATTTGGTAGGCATTACTCTCCCACAACTCTAATCTATGCATATGTGCAAGCTTTCAATCCAAACTCTTGGCACATATATAGGGAGAGCAAATGCTACCAACTTAGGTTCATGAAACTTGTCCCAATCCTTTACACATGGTAAAAATGATTGGGCAAGCAACATGAATCCAAAATGTTTTTAATTCATATCTTTGTAGAGGATGTCATCAATTACCAAAAAGGGGGAGATTGAAAGCCCTAGTTTGGTTTTGGATACTTGATGAAACCTATTTGGACTAATCCTTGCATCTAAGTGTATGACTAGATAGGGTGGTCCAATCCAAGTGGTGGAGCAAGATAAAGTCCATGGTGATGGTGATGGACATGTGATGATGGTGATCAAGCTCCGAACTTGGAAAAGAAGAAAGAGAAAAATAAAATGGGCTCAATGCAAAGGTATAATTGATAGGGCCATTTTGTTTTGCCACTCAAGACACCTAGTGGGTGTGAGTGGATTTAGGATAGATAGCCATACTATCAAGAGGGGAGAATCTCAGTTAAAACGGTTGTCAAGTGCCACTAGGTGAAGTGATTCATGCATATGCATTAGGACCTAGTGTGCTAACAAATTAACCCTTGAAAAATTCTTGGAAAAATGCTAACGCATGTGCACTATGGTGAGACACTTTGTTGTTAGCGTTTTGGAATCAAGGGTGGAGTAGTTGAGTTGCTAGAAAAAGGAAAAGGAGTGGACCGGACCCTATTCTTGTTGAAACCGAACCCTGGTGAAGGGTGGGTCCGGTCGGTCATTTAGGGGCGCATGGGGCGTAGATATTGGCGGCTCAGACCCTGGCGCTGCTTCTTTGGACTGAGGGTTAGCGGGTCCGGTGCCTGCGTGGGAAGCCATCATCACGCAGCTTTGCCTTTGGCGCGGTGCGCCTCGAACCTTGACGGGTCCGACGGGGGCTCTACGGGTCCGGCATAGGTGAGCGAGCCATGGTTCGGTGAGCGCCTGTCGGATCGGGCTACATGGGTCCGTCCTAGGCGCAACGCAGCAGCGGCAAAGGGCGCGGACTCGCGTGTGAGGCATCGGAGGTGCGGGCGCGTGGTGGCCTTGCGGGTTCGACGCAAGCGCGGTCTGGCTACCTCGGACCCGACGCACGAGCGGCTTTGGACCCTCGCGTCGCGGTCTAGCTTCAACACGAAGGAAGAGCAGGTGCACACGCGCTGT